CGCCATGGTCCAGGGAGCTTGCTAGAACCAGCTAGCATCAGGGATGAAACCAATTTATTACTAGCCTTGATCTGACCCCAAGGTCTCATTTTACAAAAATAATCATCATTTCCTGAGGCTCTTCGAGGGGGAAAAAAAAAATAAAGTTCTCTGTCCAAGGTCACACAGTTAAGACCTTGGGATGACTAGGGCTCCTGAGTACCCACAAAGCCACCTTACATCATTAGAGACAAGAGACAGAATTGACATAAAACATGAGAAGATCATGGAAAACACTAAAATTCTCCTTAGGATTGTGAAAAGTCAGCTTGTCCATCTACCTCCATGGAACAGGGCAAGGAAGTCCCTGTCATCCACCAAGAAGAGGTAAGGATGCTGAGTGGAAGCCTCTTGCCAAGAGCTGTGTCAAAGGTAGAGAAGAAAGTGTAGCTGACACTGGAGGAGTTTAAAACTGTTTCTCAAAGGAAAACAAGCTATGGACTATTTAGCTACTAAGCGTAGCAAGCGGTCAGCCTTACACTGATGAAGCCATCTTTGTGGCTTTCCTGTCAAAGTAAGAACTCTTATTCCAGTTGTGCAGGCTGAAAGTAGAAGTAAAGTCCAAAGTCAAGCTCTAAAAAGCTGGCTCATGAAATTTCGAATCTTATTAGAAAAAAAAATTTAATTAAAAAAAATCTCCTTAGGCAGAAAAGTAAAACATTAACTAATAAGAGTCTCCACTGTGAAACTGAGCATAAATAATCTTTGACCAAAATAATTCAGGCCATCATCAAATTACCACCCCTCAAGTCTCATTTGCCCAATCTTTTGCCCAATATTGTAAGAGACTTTGGGTTCATACAAATTATCTCCTCTACCTATTTCTGGTGACGCTTTTATCTGAAAGAGGAGGGAAGAAAGCAAAGGCTCAGGTGAAACCTCCATCCGGAGACAGCAATGAAAACAAAAGGAGAAAAGTGGGTGAATAGAATCATTCTATCTCATGTACATATGTGAAAATGCAACCAGGTAAACGGAGGTTGGGAGAGATGCGGGGGAGAATAATGAAGGAGATGACATTAATCAAAATGCATTCTACTCACAAACTGACATGTTGAGCAGAAACCCCTTGTACAACTACTTAAAGATAATGCAAAGTAAAATAAAATAATTAAAAAGAAACAAAAGAAAAGTAGCCCCACCCCCAACAGGACCATCATGCCCTTCCATTTCCTTTACAATAAACATGACAAGAATAACCAATTCTGCAAGGGGAGTGGGGGAGACAGGTCTACAGAAACAGAAACGATGTTCAATTTCAAGCCCTGAGTTCTTCTCAAACCATAGACAGCAGGACGAAATTTCAACACAATAGAACGAAGAATTCTGAGTTGTGTGTCAGTAAATTCCAGGCCACACAAAGAGACATGCTGCAATATTTTTATTCCTTGCACCAGAAATAACCTGTTATCTGCAACCCTGACTTTTGCTCAGCTGCCTCTACCCCCATCCAACTATCCCATGTTCAGTCCTTCATCACTGCTAAACTTGAGCCTACTACCTCATGGGGCCTCTAGAGCCCCTTGGAAATTAGAAATTCCTTGACCGTCCTAGGCTTCGGCCTAAATAATTTAACAGGAAAAAAAATTTTAATTATGCTACTTAAAAAAAAAAAAAACCTCATTCCATATATGTCAGAATGTAGCCAGTCAGCCCTGAAGGATTTTGTTACTAAAAAAACAAAATAAAATAAAATCTCCCAAATGCAATGAAAGATGGGGACCGTCAAAACTGTGCCATTATCAAATCTATTTCATAGAACTGGTATCCCTTTAGAAACTCAATTTCCATAAATCAGGACTGGGAAGCTATGGACTAAGACCAAGACTGAGCACAGGGGGCCTGGGGGCTTCCATCCTGGTACAAAATGCCCACCCATTATCTTATCATCCCTTGTCCCACAGAATCTACCCAGAAAATACTACCAATATTCTCCTTTGGAGACAAAAAAAAAAAAAAAGAACTTTTTCTTTTTTTAAATGGTTCGAAATCCCCAGCAATTTCAATCAGACCCTAATTTCTCACAAATTGCCCTTGCTCTTTGGATAGAAACCTCACTTTCAGCTGTCAAATTTCAATTCAGTGTGTGTCTTCCAAAAATTTTTATTTTGCTTCTTTTTTTTTGTTTCATCTTTGTTTGATTTATTTTAAGGCCAAAAATTCCACATGAAATATTGTCTCTACAGATGCATTCATATTCCAAAGGGTTGGGCTTTTGTTTGTGTTTTGATTCGATTTTTTTCTTTTAAAAAATAATAAATTGTGCTGCTAGAATCAGCTGAATTGGTTTCTCATCCCATTTCTTCAGCAAAATGTTCTACCAGGAAAGATGGTTAAAAAAAAAAATCAGAATTTTTAGCTTTCTTCCCTTTCCTCCTTTCATCTTTTTTCTTGTTAGGTCAGTAAAATTTGTGCTTTTTTTTTTCTTCTCTTTTTTTTTTTTTTGGATCATACTTCCTCTACCCCCCCCCACACACACACACACAAAAAAAAATGATACAGGCTAATAAATTTTCTTCTCGCTTTCAAAATAAAAAAAAAATTTCTCCTGAAAAATACCAAATGTTAATAAATTACCAAGCCCACATCACAATCAAAGAGGCCTTGAAACCAATCTGAATTCTTAAAAATCATCATCATCATGATAAAATTTTCAAACTGGAAAAGTGAAAAAGACAGAAAAGGGGAATTTTTTTCTTCCTTACCAAGGATTCTTCAAACCTGTCTTCATCAATTGATTCTGTTGCTTGTCATAAAAAAAAATAGGCTTCGGTGAGCCCACTGTTAGTTTTCTCATAGTAATGTTAATTATGCATATCTTATTTTAATGGCGGTCTCCCCTACAAATCTGTGGGCTACTCTATTTGTATAATATATAAATTGACAATTTTTTCCTTCTATACTGAATATGGCCTAAAGAATATTCCTGACATTTTCTGGGAGAAAAAAAAAAAACCAACAACAAAAAAGAAATGCCTAGACCTTTCAGGAAACAAAATCAGAAAACAGTCATAATTATTACATCAAAACAAAAAAATAAATTCCCACACAAAACCCTATCAATACAGAAAAAAAAGACAGGATTTCACTCCAACTTTTTCAGTTTCTAGTTTTTCTTTAGAATCTTAGATTTAAATGTAAAATGCAAATACAAAATTAAAAAAAAAAACACCCTACAATTTCTGGGTGTGTCCAAAGCCAACATTTTAAGGTCTATTTTCTCTTTTAAATCCTTCCTCCTTGGAAATGGAAAAACTTTAAATATTGCCAAATGATAAAATTAGACTTTTTTTTTGCCCACTGAGCTAACCAACTTCCAAATTGCAATGAAGTACAATTTCTAATTGCTTCATAAAGCCAATTCTCCCAGTTTTCCCTGAAGTCCACAACTTCTCTCCTTTCCTCATTCCAATTAGTTTTTTTTTTTTTGCTTTTCTGAAACTAAAATGAGTCGGGGAGCCAAACTGACTTTGCTTTTGGGGGGGGGGGCTTTTCAAACCTTGTCTCCTTCCAAGATCTGAATTCATTCAAATTCCAGTATAATTTTCATTTACATATCATTGGGGTTTGCCTTCAGAAATAAAAATTATTTCCAGGACCCTGCAAAGCTCAAAGTGAAAATTTTCACACCAAAAATAAAGGAGGGTGGGAAAAGAATTCTTGACCCCTTTCATTGCCCTGCAGGGCAAACTTTTGAAAAAATAAGAAATAAAAAAATATTTCAATTTTAATTTCTTTTTTTATTTACAAAATAGTATCCTCTAGGTGGCGTCGTTTTAATGGGAAAAAACTACCGTTTGAAGAAAAATTAGAAAAAAAATTGAGAAAAAGGAAATATGGCCTAAAAAAAAAAAATTGTTGCAAAGATGGGGGGCCTGGGAGGGGGGATCTCTCAGGGAGGGGGCTCAGCGGGGGCCTGGACGCAGAGCCGGCCAGGGGTGGGGGAATCGCAAATTTGGGGGGGAGGAGGGAAGAGCTGGAAGGGGTTACATTTTTGCAAAATGTGAATTGTCCAAACTGAAATGGCTGCTCTGTTCTCTCGCTGCTTTGTTTTCTGGGCTCCAGTCCGAGCCCCGGGCTTCAGGGGGCGCCGGGTGAGGGGGTCCCCCCAAGATCCTCTCTCCTCACCGCCCCCTCCCTCCTCCCACCCCGCAGCTCCCAGTGGCAAGGGGTACGGGGGGGGGGCTTCCCCGAACCCCGGACCCTCTCGTTTGTGCCCACAAAAAGCCCCCACGAACGTGCCGGGCACTTTGCATCCCACCGAGCCGGCGCTC